TTAGTTGGAAGGCTTTTGATGACTGTTTCTATTTCATTAGGGGTCATAGGTCTATTTAAGTTGTCTATTCTTGTTTTAATTTTGGTAAGTGATAATTATTTAGAAATTTGTCCATTTCCTTTGAATTTTCAAATTTTGTGGAGCACAGGTTTTCAAAGTATGACCTGAAAATTGTCTAGATTTCTTCTGTGTCTGTTGTTATGTTCCCCTTTTCGTTTCTGATTTTGTTAATTTGCATGTTCTCTCTCTGCTTTTTCGTTAGTTTGGATAAAGGTTGTCTATCTTGTTGATTTTCTCGAAAAACCAGCTCTTTGTTGCATTGATTTTTTTTGTATTGTTTTTCCTGGTTTCTACTTTATTGATTTCAGCCCTCAAATTGATTATTTCCTGGCGTCTACAACTCTGGGGTGTGTTCTAAGGCTTTCAGTTGTGCTGTTAATTCTCTAATGTGATTATGCTCCATTTTCTCATATGGGCACTTAGTGCAATGAACTTCCCTCGTAGCACTGCTTTCAAGGTGTTCCATAAGTTCAGGTATGTTGTGTCCTCATTCTTGTTGAATTTTAGGAAGTCCTTAATTTCTTTATTTCTTCTTTGACCCGGGTATGGTGTAATAGCACATTGTTTAGTTTCCATGAGTTTGCAGGTTTTCTGCGATTTTTGTTGTTGAATTCCAACTTTAAAGCATGGTGGTCTGATAAGATACAGGGGACCATTCCATTTTATTTTATTTGTATCTGTTGAGGTTTCCTATGTCACCTAGTATGTGGTCGATTTTAGAGAGGTTCCATGTGAAGCAGAGAAGAAGATATATTCTTTTGTGTTTAGATGGAATGTTCTATAGATGTCTGTTAAACCCAATTGATACATAACTTCTGTTAGTTCTTTTGTTTCTTTGTTAAGTTTCTGACTGGTGGTCTTGTAGAGCGGTGAGCGGTGGGTGTTGAAGTCTCCCATTATAAGTGTGTGAGGTTTATGTGAGGTTTGAGTTTTAGTAGCGTTTCTTTTACGAATGTGGGTGCCTTTGTATTTGGGGCATAGGTGTTCAGAATTGAGACTTTGTGCTGATGGATTTCTCCTGTGATGAATACAAAATGACCATCTTCATCTCTTTTGATTGATTTTGGTTTGAAGTTTAACTTGTTAGATATTAGGATAGCCACACCTGCTTGCTTCTTGGGTCCATTTGATTGGAAGATCTTTTCCCAACCCTTTACCCTGAGGTAATGTCTGTCTTTGAAGCTTAGATGTGTTTCTTGTATGCAGCAGAAGGATGGATTCTGTCTTTGTATCCATTCTGTTAGCCCGTGTCTTTTTATAGGCAGGTTAAGACCATTAATGTTGAAGGAAGGTAAGCACCATTGATTGTTAATGCTTGTTTGTTTTAGATTTGTTGTTGGAGGTGGTATTGTGAATATATTTGCCCTGCTTTACCCTTGGGTTCTGGTGAAGTGGGATTATCTATTTCCTATGTCTTTGTGAGTGTAGTTGACTTCCTTGTGTTGTAGTTTTCCTTCCAGAACTTTCTGTAGGGCTGTATTTGTAGATATGTACTGTGAAAATCTGGCTTTGTCATTAAATATCTTGTTTTCTCTGTCTATAGTGATTCAAAGTTTTGCTGGGTATAATAGCCTGGGCTGGCATCCGTGGACTCTGAGTTCTTGTAGAACATTTACCCAGGACCTTCTGGCCTTGAGAGTTTCCATGGAGAAGTCAGGTGCAATTTTGATAGGTCTGCCTTTATATGTTACCTGTCCTTTTTCCTTTGCTGCTCTTAATATTCTTTCTTTATTCTGTATGCTAGGTGTTTTGATTATTATGTGTTGAAGGGTCTTTTCTTTGGTCCAGTCTAATTTGGTGTTTGGTATTCAGATTGGTGCATGGGCATTCAGATTGAGAAAGTTTTCTCCAATGATTTTGTTGAATATGTTTTCTGCACCTTTGAGCTGGGCTTCTTTGCCTTCCCCTATGCCTATCATTCGTAGGTTTGGCCTTTTTACGGTGTACTACATTTTCTGGATGTTTTGTGTTAAGGATTTGTTGGATTTATGATTTTTTTTTCTTGGTCAATGCATCTATTTCCTCTAGTTTATGTTCAGTGCCTGAGAGCCTCTCTTCCATCTCTTGTATTCTGTTGGTTATCCTTGTGTCTGTAATTCCCGATCATTTGCCCAATTTTTCTATTTCCAGCATTCCTTCAGTTTGTGTTTTCTTTATTGTCTCTATTTCAGTTTTCAAGTCTTGAACCGTTTCCTTCACCTGTTTAATTGTTTTTTCTTGGCTTTCCATACTTTAAGAGATTTGTTCATTTCTTCCAACTTTTTGTTATTTTTTTCTTCTGTTTCTTTAAGGGATTTTCTCACATCGTCTTCGTTTTTTTTTTTTTTTTTTTTTTTGAAGATATTTTTAAGTTGTTCTCTTCTGCTTCATCTGCTTTGGGGTGTTCAGGTCTAGTTGGTGTAGAGTCCTTAGATTCTGGTGGTGTCATGCTTGTCTTTCTATTGTTAGGTGTTTTCTTGTATTGACATCTTCCCATTGCTTCTTCCAGTAGGTACAGGTGGGGTCTTTCTCTCTCTCTGGTACTCCCCAGGTGGGTTTAGGTGGGTCAAAAGTTCAATGTCTGTAGCTCTGGGTGGTCCAAGCTCTCTAGAAGGTCTCTCCTCAGGCAGGGGCCCAATGATGGGGGTCAAACATCAGGCTACAGCAGAGGTCGGGCAATGGGGGTCAGATATCAGGCAGGTGGGGATTCAGGGTGGTCCCGAGTGGATAGGCAGGTCTAGTGTGCTCAGAGCAGCTCCAGGAAGTTCCCCCTCTTCTCTCTCTCTCTCTCTCTCTCTCTCTCTCTCTCTCTCTCTCTCTCTCTCTCTCTCTGAGGCAGGGATTCTCTGTTGTTTTGGTTTTGGAGGCTGTCCTAGTACTACCTGTTATAGACCAGGCTAGTCTCGAACTCACAGATCCCCCTCTCTCTGCCTCCTTAACACTAGGATTAAAGGCATGAACCACTACCGCCTGGCAAAGAGACAATTTCAGGCCTTGAAGTTTAGATCCCCTTGCCCCAGCTTCACTAGTACCTGGGGATTACATCCATAAACTACCAAACTGGGTTTGTACTATTCTTTTGTGTTCAACTCATGCTGAGATCTTGGAAAATGAGTTTCTAAGTGTTCTGATGGCTTTTAAAGCACTTTAAGGAACATCCATTTGAAGTGTACAGGATAATGGTGTACCTGGGTCCTCTGCAAGAAGAATAGTGTTCTTAATTACTAAACCATCAAGTACTTTTGACTATGAAGCCATCTTCTCAGTCCCAAAGTACTGCCAATTCACCTTCTGTGTGATGGCTGCAGTTTTTGTTTGTCTCCTAGCACCAAAAGGGATAACACCTAGAACCCTGTACATGCTGGTCAAGAAGTTTACCACTTTAAAAAGTGGGTTCCACCTCCCCTTTCTTTTTCCCCCTCTTGTTTTTTGGAGGGTGGTTTCTCTGTAAAGTCCTAGCTGTTCTGGAACTCACTTTGTATACCAGGCTGGCATTAAAGTCAGAGAGCTGAGTGCCTTGGAGTTCTAGGATTAAGGGAAAGTTGATCTTGTGGTTATTGGAGCTCTGATTGCTCCAACATCATCCTAGTACTTCGGTGCAGGTTTTATAAGAAGACAAAATGATAGGAAGCTAGCCAGTGCCAGGACTGTACAGTTGTCACTCTCAGGGAAGCATGTCACTATGTCACTGTCCCTACACTCAGCTCTGTATTACTGTATACGGTAAGAACACTTACCTGCTCAAACTAGCAATTTGGGAATGCTAAAGAGAAAGGAAGCATGATTTAAAAAAAAAAAAAAGTAACATGGGGGCTGGAGAGATGGCTTGGTGGTTAAGAGTACTGGCTGCTCTTCCAGAGGACCCAGGTTCAATTCTTAGCACCCACAATATTCTGTAACTCCAGCCCTAGGTGTAACTCCAGTCCCAAGGGATCTGACACCCTCCTTCGGCCTCCATGTGCACTGCAAACATGTGATATACAGACATATATGCAGGCTAAATTTCCATAAATTTCCATAAAAAAACTTAAGTGAAATGGTCTGAATAAGGAAAACTAATATCCAAACATTTCCAAGATTTACAGTAACACTGATCTATCTGAGATTAGGAATAAAGGGGAACATTTGCTAGCTTTGCTGCAATGACTTAACTGCAACTTAATTTGTTTGTGGGAAACATCAACTGAAATTATGTTTCATGGGGAATCTGTGCCCCACAAAGTATCAGTCCCTATGAAGACTCCAGCAAAGAGGCCCTGAAACAAGTACCACTGAGCTTTTTAGTGCAGAGATGGATAGACTGGATAGGTGTGGTCAGAAAACAGATTGCTGGGGAACTAATGTCCACCATCACCAATACTGTGGCTATATTTCCAGCAGAATGTATGATGATGAAGAGGAGAGCTGAGGGTGCAGCTTAGGACTGAGCACTTGTCAGTCACATGGGAAGCCCTGGCTTTGATTACTTGTACCACTGACACCCCCACCAAAACAAGCATGGTACCTCCTCCAATTGTGAGGTGATGGCACACTGATCAAAGCAGGCACAGCAAGGTCCAACATGTCAACAACCAACCAAATTCCTATTTAAAGCTTACATAGAAAACATTTTATCATCTTCAAATGTATGAGCCATGATGTCCTCAAATAAATCTTGGTTGTAAGGTCTGGCCCTTCCAGCTGTTGTCAGTGTTTTCGGTGTCTTCTGGATAAAGGAGAGGTGGGTGCTTTCCCAGCCAGCTTTCTCAGCTGATCCCCATGAGTGACTGAGAAAGTTCTCGTCCCATGCACTGCCTCTTCCTGGCAGCGACGTGCTAGCTCACGTGGGCACCTGCGCCTGCTCAAGGCGGCGCCACAGACAGGCTGCGTTCCCGCCAGATATTTAAGTTTCGTTTCCAGAAGTTACCGAGAGTTCCCCTTCCTGTGGTCTTTTCCCCGAAGTGGATTCTTCCTTACCGGATTGGAGAGACGCAGCTATGGAGGGTCAATGCCTAAGGCCTACAGCATCGCGCGCTATGAAGCTGGCAGCGAACCGTGCCACGACAGAGGCCAACCGGGCCGAGGCCGCCCTGTCCCACGTGGGAAGTCGCGGCCCGCAGAGGGGGGCGCGATCGCGGCGTGCGGAGCCTGATGGGGACCCCATGGAGAAGCCGCGAGCTCGAGCGCCCCGAACCCATCCAGGGAGGGCGTCCGTGCGCCCCAAGGAACTTCAGATCTCAGCAATGGGCGTGGCTGGAGATGCTGAACTGCCTACTGCTCCGGAGCCCCGGCTGGCTGCGGTCCTGGACCCCCAGCTGCTCGCAGACCCCGAGGTTTCCGTCTCAAGGGGTCTTGGCCACAGGAGGGGCGCGCGCTCTATGGGGAAGCAGAGAACGCCGCGGGGATCCCGGAAGGAGCATGAAGAGACTCCCGACAAAAGGCTCAAGAAGGTCCTGGAAAACTTGAAATTGAAACGCAATGAGATCTCGGTGGCGGCGGAGGTGGTGAATGAGGTCGTGGGGCATCTGCTGTCAAGAATGAGGAACCGTGAGTCGGAGTTCAAAGGCGTGCAGCAGCTGAACACTGGCAGCTACTATGAGCATGTGAAGGTGAGTGGCCAAGACCTGCTTGCTGGAGGGGCTCTGTGTGCACTTCTCACTTGCCTCATGTGTTTGAGTTCTCCACAGGCTTGGGCTCCCCTCTTACCTTCTTGAACTACCCATTCTTGATCTCTCTCTCTCTCTCTCTCTCTCTCTCTCTCTCTCTCTCTCTCTTGTTCTCTTCCTCCCTCGTTCCCTCCCCCTCCCTCTCTGTGATCTGAGACAACCTTTTTTTTTGTTTTGTTTTGTTTTTTAATGCATTCAATTAGCATGCAGACCAATTTTGATAGCTAGTTTCTCTTAACACTGCTTTGGAGGAACTCTGGAATTCCTCCTGAGGTGTTATGGTGGAGAAGATGTGATTTTTAAAGCAATCACAGTGGAAGGTCTGCACTCAGGATGGAGGATGACTCTGCTATGGCTGAGTGGATGGAGTCGTTTTCTTAATCTTCCCTTCTAGATTGAGTCCAGCCCATTCCGGAGATACTAGGACCACTTGCAATTATGCCAATTAGGGCAGAATTGTTTATAACTGGTTGGGTGAGGTGGTTGGATACTCAGGTGAGGGTCCAGTGACCTTCTCACACCTCCTTCAATGAGCAAACACTTAACAGTCAACAAGCCTAGCTCTGGTGCCCTTTGGAGAGCATGCCCCCGAATTCCAGAAGATAGTGGCAGTGTGGCTCAGAGTCCAGGTTGTAAGAAGTAAATCAATTGTAGTAGTTTTATTCAAATAATATGGCAACTACTAAATCCCAGCAGGAAGGCAGAGGCAGGTGGATCCCTGTGAGTTCAAGGCCAGCTTGGTCTACATAGAGAGTTTCAGGACAGCCAGGGCTCTGTAGATAACCTGTGTCAAAACAAAACAAATAAAAATAAAAAAAGGAAAAAAAAAAACCATAGCAACTTGTAACATGAATGGATTATAAAAACAAACTAATGCATACAGCTACTATAATAAGACAAGAAAAAGAAACCAAATGACTAAGATGGCAAAGGAACAAAAACACTTTTATTGTACAGGTGACAGATTTATGTACAAACAATTAAAATGTGTTGATTAGAAAGATTATAGGGTACAAAAGCAATAAACTAAAACCAACTACTTAAATGTGGTAGCAAGAGATGGGCAAATGAGGTAAAAAACAGCATTAAAAGCCAAGTAGGGGTGGAGAGTTGGTAGTGCTCGCCTTTAATTCTAGCACTAGGGAGGCAGAGGCAGGCAGATCTCTGTGAGTTTGAGGCCAATCTGGTCTACAGAGTGAGTTCTAGTTCCAGGACAGGCTCCAAAGCAATACAGAAAAACCCAGTCTTGAAAAGCCAAAAAAAAAAAAAAAAAAAAAAAAAAAAAACCAAAACAAAATAAAACAAAACATGCCATGTTTTTCAGGCTAGCATGAGCTACCGTGTAAGACTCTGTTTAAAAACAAACATACTTGTACTGCTTTAAAAAAGTGATGTATAATAACAGGAAATGGCTGTTCTCAGTTGTGGTAGTCCTGTTCTGAGAGGGGATACATATTTGCAATCTTGTTTTCCTTCCTTCCTTCCTTCCTTCCTTTCTTCCTTCCTTCCTTCCTTCCTTCCCTCCCTCCCTCCCTCCCTCCCCTCCCTCCCTCCCTCCCTTCCTTCCTTCCTTCCTTTCCTTTTTGTTCTTTTGAGACAGGGTCTCTCTATGTAGTCTTGGCTGTCCTGGAACTCACAGACATCCACCTGCCTCTGCCTCCAGAGTTCTAGGATTAAAGGCTTGTAAGATAAGCTGGGATCTTGCCTCTTTCTCTATTTATTTATTGATTGATTTTTGAGACTCACTCTGTAGATCAGGCTGGCCTTAAACTCACAGCCTCTGCCTTCTGAGTACTGGGATAAAGGCGGGCACCACCACTGTTCTGCCACTTACTTTTTGAAAGACCTCCCCAGAGACCCCATGAGTTTGGAGCCTGTCAGGGGGAAGGCCCTTGCCCCCAAGAGACGAGACCAGACCACTGGATGCAAGTGCAAGAGGTTGTTTATTGTTTACACAGGTACCTGTGGATGCTTCAGTCTTTCGGGGGACTGAGCGTGCTGAGGTTAAAACTCAGGCAGTTTATATAGGGTTGGGGTGGCAAGAAGCAGGCTTACAGAAGCAGAAGCATGGTTACAGGGATTTCATTGTTTCATCTAAATGTAGCAGTTGTAGTTAACCAAGGACAGTTGGTTATTCGGGTTGGGCACAAAGAATACAAAGAATTCAGTTATGACTATCTCAGCATACTGGACACTGTCCTGCTGACCTTGCTTTGGTCCAAGCTGCAGACCACAGATATCTGGTTGGCGTTGCTTGAGAGCAGCACCTGGTTCCCTCCAGTACTTTTCTCATAACTTGACCTTGGCAAATTAGCAAGAGCAATTTAAACAGGCAATAAGCATAGTGGGGGTCTTTCATTTTCAGTGTGGTGTCTCCAATGAAACTTTCACAGAAAAAAAAAATGCAATTGTTTGAAAAGATTTTATAAGAAAATATTTCAATGTTATTTTTACTATTTCCTAGATATCTGCTCCTAATGAATTTGATGTTATGTTTAAACTCGATGTCCCCAGAATTCAGCTACAAGAATATTATGACACTGGTGCATTTTATCTTGTGAAACTCGGAAGAATTCCAAGAGGAAATCCACTGGGTAATTTTTTAGTAGGGGAAATATTGTCAGCTTCCAAGATGCTGTCAAAGTTTAGGGAAATCATTAAAGAAGAAGTTAAAAGAATCAAAGGTGAGATTTTTGGTTTTCATTCTTGCAGACCAGAAGCTGCCTTACTCATGTACATTGCTCTACTGATCTCCTCTTATGTCATCCCCTCCTTCATCCCCATGTGTGTATCTCTCTACCTCTCTCCCCAACTTCTCTTTCCCACTTCCGTTCTGTGGGCACTCCCAGAAATCTTTCCTCAGTGCAGTCTACTGTTACCTCCCAAAGTCATCTTATCTGACCACACTACTGTCTCTACAATGATATCTGCTCCAGCAATCTGTCAGTCCATCCGTCTGTGCGTCCGTCTGTCTGTCCATCCATCCATTCAAATGGGATCTCACTATGTAACCCTGACTGACCTATGTAGTACCTAGTCACTATGTAGACCAGGCTGGCCTTGTCTCTTGAATGCTGCTAACATGTTGCCTTACACCAACACTGAGCAAGCTTATGGTGAACTTAATTTTGGTCACTGTTTCTTCATCCTGCTTATTCTGTTTTGGGAAATGGAAATGTCAACCATTTTATAGGACAGACTCCTGGAATCACATCAAAGGCATCTGCCTTCCCTTCTTCACTTACAGACTTAGTGCCCTGGTGATTTGAGACTACATGTTTATTTAGAGGTGGGGTATCAATGACACAGCCCAAGCTGTGCTTGAAAACATTTTCTGGTGGACAATGGGACTGTACTCAAGATCTTGGGCATACTGGGCAAGCACCACCACTGAACCAGAGTTTGAACTCTGTAATTACTCTCTCTTCTGCTACTGTTTCTCGATACTCGATGCCTCTCTTCTGGACTGTAGCTGTGGTCTGTTCTCCTACTCTCTTCCCTGCTGCTCTGTGGCTTTTGCTGGCTTCTCTCCTTTTAAAATTCTAAATGAAAATTTAATTACAGCACTCCCAAATACAAAGTCTTCAGGAATGCTTCCTCAGGTCTTAGATAGAATCCTGACACTGTCTCCAGATAGTTAACTATTGGTTACATGGTGAAACACTATGCCTCATGGGGGTATAATTCTATATTAGGGCTAAAGTTTATTAAGGTTTAGGCTATAGATTTTAAATTTCCAGAGAAAATGGATCAACCTTTTCTTTTCTTCAATATGTGTAACAGGCGTAGATGTCAGTGTGGAGATGGAAAAACCAGGAAGCCCTGCTGTAACACTTCTTATCAGAAACCCTGAAGAAATATCTGTGGACATAATTCTGGCTTTGGAGTCAAAAGGCAGCTGGCCTGTTAGTACCAAAGAAGGACTACCCATCCAAAATTGGCTTGGCACAAAAGTTAGGACTAATCTAAGACGAGAGCCCTTTTATCTTGTACCCAAGAATGCAAAAGTTGGAAATGGTTTTCAAGGTTTGTTAAATGTGAATATTAATGGGAAGATTGTAAAAGTTTCATTACTGTTATATGCAAAGGCAGCAAAAATGAAGTGTGCTGGCATTTCAAGAGCCATCAGGCTACATAAGCCACAAAAGGAGTGTGGCTAAATAGAATTGAGAAATGGGTGTCAGAGGAAGCAGGCAGAGTAAGGCAGAGCAGGAGGAACAGGAGTTTCAGGTCATCTCAGGTACACAATGAGTTGCAGGCCAATCTGGGCTACATGAGACCCTGTCTCAAAATAATTCTCAAGCTACAGCAACAATAATTATTTCATTTTCTAATAATGGCTATGGGTCCCTGCATCTAAATTTTGTTTTAAGTGAAGACAGTACTGCCTTCTTGGACTTACCAGATTGTGGTTCTGAATCTCAAGGCTTTCCCTTGAATAACTCTGACATCTTGTGCTAGTTTTTAAGCCTCTTTAAATCTGTTCAGCAACTCATCTGGACAAATCAGAGCTTTTAAAAAGATTCTGAGAAAGTTAAAGCATCAGAGAAACAAAACATTAATGCAATGAATTTAGCACAACATGAGAGATAATGTATCTGATGTTGGCTAAGTACCTTAGGTCTGATGTCTGTGTTTCCCTATTTAGATCCCCTTTTGCTATGTAATATTTATGTCAATACTTATTTCGTTTATCTGTTCACTTCTTTTGGTCTGTATTCCTCTTAAATTTCCTCAGAATTGTATTTTAGTGTAGGATTTAACCTTAAATAATATTTTTTTCATATGGTTACTTTTAGTAAAATAGCTGTTTTTCTTTCTTAAATTAAGGCAAGACATGGCGCCTCTCTTTCTCTCACACTGAAAAATACATTTTGAATAATCATGGGATAGAAAAAACATGTTGTGAGTCTTCTGGAGTCAAATGTTGCAGGTAATGTCCTGTTTTTTTTTTTAAATTGGCAAATTACCTAAGATATTAACATTTAATGCTTTCTTGGTGCCATAGCCCGGATGTGAGAATTATTATGGCTCAGCTGGGAGAAGGGTAGTGCTGGGATGATTTGGGGAAGAGACCAAGGGGTAAAAGAGAAGGAGCAAGGGAAAGAAGCAGAGGAGGTTATGTATACACACATATGTAAATTCAATAATGATTACCCTTTTTTGGGGGGCTGGGATCTCCCTATATAGCCCAAGTTGGCCTTGACCTCACTCTGTAGCCATTGTTGATTGTGAATTCATTGTGATGTTCCTGCCTTAGCCTCCCAAGTGTTAGGAATGTAGGCATGCATACTACACCTGGCTAATTGAGTATATTATTGTTATGAAAGGTGAAGAGGCCAAAGAATGACTCTTATTGGATAGTAGAGGCTACTTTGGGATAGAGTAGTTTTGTTGCTGTTAGAAACTGACTGGTAGAAATAAAAAAATCCAATAAGTGGGTCATATTTCTTCTTAGAATATACACCATTAAATAAGTGAGACTGAGGGCTGCAGAAATGGCTCAGGGGTCAAGTGCACTGGATGCTCTTCCAGAGGTGCTGAGTTCAATTCCCTACACCCACATGGTCTGTAATAGGATCTAATGTCGTCTCCTGGCATGCAGGCATACATGCAGAGCACTCATACATAAAACAAAATAAAATAAAACAAAAAGATTTAGTAAAAAAAAAAAAAAGTGAGACTGAATGGGGCACACCTTTAGTACCAGTACTCGGGAGGAAGGGGCAGGCCGATCTCTGTGAGTTCAAGGCCATTCTGTTCTTCGAGTGAGCTCCAGGACAGGCTTCAAAACTACAGAGAAAGCCTATTTTGAAATAAACAAAAGACAAGGAAAAATATAAATGAAGTGGTTGAGGCAAGGATGGTAGTGCAGACTCTAACCCAGCACTTTATGATGAAAGAGAATAGAGCTGAAGGCCATTCTCTGCTATATGACAACTTAAAGGCCACCCTGAGCTACATTAGACCCTGCCTTAAAAATTTGGAAATAAAGAAGAAAGCATGTTTACAAAAGAAACAGGACAGATAAGATGGTACACAGCTTTAATTCTAGCACTTGTATTTGGGAGGCAGAGGGCGTGGACCTCTGTGTTCCAGGAAATTTAGGATTACTAAGAGAGACCTTGTCTCAAAAGAGGCAGGTTATAAATAAATAAAAAATAATATGTTTTCTTTTAACAGGAAAGATTGTTTAAAACTAATGAAATACCTCTTGGAGCAGTTGAAAAAAGAGTATGAAGAATTAGATGATTTTTGTTCTTACCACGTGAAAACTGCAATCTTCCACATGTGGACAGAGAACCCACAAGATAGTCAGTGGGACCCCAAGCACATAAGCGCCTGCTTTGATAACTTTTTGACATTCTTTGTTGAGTGCCTCAAGACAGAGAAACTGATGCATTACTTTATTCCAAAGTTTAATCTATTCTCTCAAGAGCTAATTGACAAAAACAGTAAAGAATTTCTGTTGAAGAGAATTGAATATGAAAGAAACAATGGATTTCCAATTTTTAACAAATTTTGAAATTATGTATTTGTGTATGTGTTATGTGTTCTTGTGGGTGTGTACTTAGGACAGAGGTTGAAGCATATGTCTTCCTCCATCACACTTTACTTTTTTGAGACAAAGTCTGCCTCTGAACTCAGAGCTCATGGAGCTGTCCAGGCTGATCAGCCAGCGAGCTTCCAGGATCCACCTGTCTCTGAGCATCACCTGTACAGCTTTTACATTGTTGCTAGGGATCTGAACTCAGGTCCTCATGCTTACAAAGCAAGTACTATATTGTCTGAGCCATCTTCCCAGCCTGAAATTGTATTTTAAAATGAGATTGGGTTAAAGGGACTTAGGTCCATCGTGGTGGCGTATGCCTGTACATGAGAAGTAGAGGCAGAAGAACATAGTTCAGGGTGACCTTTGGTTGTATCTCTAGTTCAAGGAGAGCCTGGGCTACAGGAAACCTACTTAAAACCAAGTACAAAGGGTACTGGAGAGATGGCTTGCTGCTCATTCAGAGAACTTGGGTTTTGTTTTCAGTACCAAATGGCAGGTCATAACTGTAACTCCAGTTCCAGGCAATCTAGTTTGACCCTTGCACGATTCTGCTTACACATACACAAACACACATGAAAAAAATAAATATTTTTTAAAAGCATCAGAAACCATCAGAAAGTAAAACTGATATGATCCCATGATATGTTAAGTATATTGGCACTTATAATCTTGGCACTTGAGAAACTGATGTATGAGGGTTGCCATGAATGCAAGGCCAGCCTGGGCTACTGAATAAGATTTTGTCTCAAAAAACAAAACACCAAGAGCCAGCAGCAGTCCCTATGAGTCACCATGGGGTTTGGCCTGGTTTTGCTCACCCATCCTGAATCAGAAAAATAGAGTACTTTGTTTCCTTGTATGCTGGTCAGATCCTAAGGGGGCTTTTCTTGGTATCTCTACTTCCTTACTCTTTCTTTTGAAGTTTCCCCCAACCTCTCAACACATATACACCATATGACTGCTTGTCCATCATGTGGCTGCTGTCATCTTTGAATACAAAAATGTGATTCTAATGATTCAAAAGGTCACAGCAGTGACTAAAATGAATAAAGTTATTTATCTCTCAGTTTTTCATAATTCCCTCAGATATAAAGATTTTAATAAAAGTTAAACATTTTTGAAAGAGAAAACAAATATCTGTTTCCCCAAATAAATGCATTACATACTTAGTATCACTTCTTAGGTGGTGTTAAGTCTTCAAAAGGTTGTGAGAGATCACATTGGAAATGGTTGGTTTAGGCTTTGTTTGAATATGAGAGATGTACATGGGAGCAGTGCTTGGTCCTGTGTCTCAGTGTAGGAAAGGAATGAAAAATTAAGTTCTGCATATCCATACTTCAGGTACTTTATCATGTGTGGATAAGCATGCAATTTATTTTTATTTGTTTTGTATAGTTTTACAAAAGCAATGGTACCTCAGGCAGAGAAATGGGTATGGGACAGAGGATGACTCTCCTCTCCATTCAAGCAGCATTCACCAGTGACAACTGATGCTCATTAACTTTTTTGAGTACTTTGTGTTGAATGTATTTGTTGCAGGAACCTCTTTCTCATTGTCCTGTAGTTGTTTGTTCCCTGTGTAACAAATCATGTCTACCATATGTGTTGTTCTCACTTTGTTGGTACCTTACAATAAATAAGATTTAAAAGTTTTAATGTAGTTGAATTTATCAGCCTTAGAGTTTGAGCCTTGTACTTAACAACCACTAGGTTTGAATTTCATACAAAAAACTGTCAACATGGGGAGGAAAGTTTTGAGGACAGTTAACAAGTAGAATGTCAGACAAAAAAAAAAAAAATCCAAACTCTTCGAAACATCTTCAAATGTGCCATTGTCTTCCAGAAAAACAAACAAACAAACAACAACAACAACAACAAAAAACCCAAAAACAATTAAAGGTACACAAAGCATTGGTTTTAGGTCCCAGAACATAAATAAGATAAAAAGACAAATTCAGATCTTTAAGTTCAGACTTCCTTGCCCCAGCCTCACCAGTACCTGGGATTACACCCATACACTATCAGGCTGTGTATTGCTCTTTTGCGTTCAACTCATGCTGAGATCTTGGAGAACCAATTTCTTACTGTCCTGATGTCTTTTAAAGCACTTTAAGGAACAACTTCATTGAGTATTATGCACCCCATATAGTTTAACAATTTGAAGTGTACAGGTCAATGGTGAACCTGGGTCCTCTGCAAGAACAGTAGTGTTTTTAATCCCTGAGCCATCTTTCCCTTCCCAGCAAGTACTCTTGACCCTGAAGCCATCTTCTCAGCCCCAAAGTGTTGCCAATTCACCTTCAATGTGATGGTTGCAGTTTTTTTTTCCCTGCCACAAAAAAGGGACAGAACCTAGGATAGGGCCCTGTACATGCTGGTTGATCGATTTATCACTATAAAAAGAGTTTTTTTTTTCCCTTTCCTTTTTTTTTTTTAAATAAAAGAGGGTGAATGAGGTAACCCAGTCACAAAAAGAGGAACATGGTATGTACTTGCTCATATATGGATTTTAGACCTAGAGCATAGGATCACCAGCCTATAATCCACACCACCAGATGAACTAAGATACAAGGTATATTCTAAGAGGTTCTAAGGGATATAAAGTCCCTGGAAAGGACAAGTCTCCCAGAGCACATGGGAAGTGGAGGGGCAGTGAATGGAGAGAGAAGTAGGAGAAAGAGAAGGGGAGGAGAGGAAAACATGTGCGACTAGGAAGATTGAGTCAGGGTAGGAATAGAAGATAGAACAGAGAGAGGGAGAGAGAGAGAGAGAGAGAGAGAGAGAGAGGGAGGGAGGGAGGGAGGGAGGGAGGGAGGGAGGGAGGGAGAGAGAGAGAGCACATAAAAAAGGGAGCCATTATTGGTTTGAAGAGAAAACTGAACCTAAAGAAAGGTCTAGAGACCTACAAGACTGCCACCAACTAACAATTTGAGCAACTGTGGAAAGGCTACCATAAATGCCCTTCCCAGATAGTGAGATCAACAACTAACTTATCCACCATCACGGAGCCCTCATTTAGTACCTGTTGGAAACAGAAGCAACACCCATACCTAAACACTGAGTCAAACTAGAATCCAGATGCAGAGGGAGAGGACAAGACCAGGTTGCAGAAACACATAAAGATAGCTGACCTGAACAAGAAGGAGTTAACAGGCCCCCAGACTGATAGCTGGGAATTCAGCATGGGACTGACTCAGCCTCCCCTGAATATGGGTCTCAGCCAGAAGGACTGAGCAGTCTAAGGGACCTCAGACAGTGGAATCAGGATGTATTCCTGGTGCATAAAAAGACCTTGCGGGCACATTCCCCATGGAGGGATACCTGCCTTAACCTAGAGACAGGAGAGAAGTCCTAGTCCCTACTTCAAATGACCTGACAGATTTACATGGCCCCATCTGGATGGCATTCCCCTACATATGGAATTGGGGTGGGGGGATGGGAGGGGAGGGTGGTCAGGGTACATGTGAGGGGACAGAGAATGTAAGAGGGAGGGAGGGAGACAGGGAGAACAGGAGGGAGGGAGAAGGAACTGGGATTTCTCTGTATAGTCCTAGCTGTTCACTATGTAGATCAGGCTGGCATTAAACTCAGAGAGCTGAGTGCCTTGGAGTTCTATGATTAAGGAAAGGTGGATCTCATAGTTATTGGAGCTCTGATTGTTCCCACATCATCCCAGTACTTGGGTGAAGGTTTTATAAGAAGACAAAATGATAGGAAGCTAGCCAGTGCCAGGACTGTACAGTTGTCACTCTCAGGGAAGCATGTCACTATGTCACTGTCCCTACATTCAGTTCTCTATGTCTATATACAATAAGACCACTTACCTAAAGTTTTGTTTTTCAAGATTTCTGTTACATCAACTATGGTTCAAAAACTTGAAGTGGAAAACTTTGGAAATAAAAAATTTAAGTTTAAAGCTGTATGTTACTCTGAGTGGCATGTTGGAGTCTTGCATAATGATACTCTTGTCCAGTGTCCTGCCAGTCCTTACTAGGGCATGAATCATGTCTTTGTCCACAGTATCAATGCTGTATGTGCTTACCTAGCCATTGCTTACATAATAGGACCCTTAACATTTTTTGCTTAGACTTTTTTTTGTGTATTTATACTTTGCCTTTATGTATGTACACTACATTCATGCCTGTGGAAGTCATCAGAGGGGGTCAAGTTCCCTGGAACTGGAGTTACCAGTGGTTGAGCTGCCACTTCAGTGCTGGGAACTGAACTTGAACCCTCTGCAAGAGCAATAAGTATGATAAACCACTGAGCCATCTCTTCAGCTCTTAAAATTGCAGGGTTTTTTCTGTTTTTAATTTTGTGTGGGTGTGGTGATTTTGAAATAGGGTTTCTCTGTGTAAGAGTCCTGGCTGTCCTGGAACTTGCTTTGTAGACCAGGCTGGCCTGGAGCTTACAGAGATCTACCTACCTTTGTCTCCTGAGTGCTAGGATTAAAGGCATGTTCCACCACTGCCTGGCCACAATTGCACTCTTAGTAATCAAATTATTGTATCATTGAAGTCCTTGTCTTGTTAATAAAACCCCTTTGTTATTTAATAATGGCTTTTGAATGCAATACAATTAACCCTAGCAATTTGGGTATGCCAAAGAGAAAGGAAGCATGATTAAAAAAAAAAAAAAGTAACATGGGGGCTGGAGAGATGGCTTGGTGGTTAAGAGTACTGGCTGCTCTTCCAGAGGACCCAGGTTCAATTCTTAGCACCCACAATATTCTGTAACTCCAGCCCTAGGTGTAACTCCAGTCCCAAGGGATCTGACACCCTCCTTCGGCCTCCATGTGCACTGCAAACATGTGATATACAGACATATATGCAGGCTAAATTTCCATAAATTTCCATAAAAAACTTAAGTGAAATGGTCTGAATAAGGAAAACTAATATCCAAACATTTCCAAGATTTACAGTAACACTGATCTATCTGAGATTAGGAATAAAGGGGAACATTTGCTAGCTTTGCTGCAATGACTTAACTGCAACTTAATTTGTTTGTGGGAAACATCAACTGAAATTATGTTTCATGGGGAATCTGTGCCCCACAAAGTATCAGTCCCTATGAAGACTCCAGCAAAGAGGCCCTGAAACAAGTACCACTGAGCTTTTTAGTGCAGAGATGGATAGACTGGATAGGTGTGGTCAGAAAACAGATTGCTGGGGAACTAATGTCCACCATCACCAATACTGTGGCTATATTTCCAGCAGAATGTATGATGATGAAGAGGAGAGCTGAGGGTGCAGCTTAGGACTGAGCACTTGTCTGTCACATGGGAAGCCCTGGCTTTGATTACTTGTACCACTGACACCCCCACCAAAACAAGCATGGTACCTCCTCCAATTGTGAGGTGATGGCACACTGATCAAAGCAGGCACAGCAAGGTCCAACATGTTAACAACCAACTAAAACCCCAAGAGGAGCTTGTGTGATGGCATAACAGATGACAGTGCATGCATGCGGCCTGGTGACTTGAGTTCAATCCCTGAGATCTACCCAAATGTGGAAGGAGAGAACTGACTCCATGAAGTTTCTCTTTGACCCTCTACATGTGTAGGTGTTATGCATGCATGACATACCCATGCAGACACAGTAACAAATTTTTAAATTTTTTTTTAAAAGAGATTTATTTATTGTGTTTACAATGCTCTGCTTACATGTCTGCTTCAACACCAGAAGAGGGCACCAGACCCAATTACAGATGGCTGTGAGCCACCATGTGGTTGCTGGGAATTGAACTCAGGACCTTTGGAA